TCCTGTGAATACTTAATGGAGAAAGGTAGACTTGCATTTTGCTATATGCTCCTTTGTACCTGTGAATGTATTGCCTATTCAAAAATTAGTAAAAAAAAAAAAAAAAAAAAAGGAATTAAAATTTAGTGTAAATTTTATACACAGGAGGCACAAATTTTACAAAGTTAGGATTCATCTCCCCCTAAAACTCAAGGTTCAGTGTTAGGTAAAAAGTTATGCAACCAAGTCACCAGCCTCCTCAAGCTGGATACAACGCATGCCTTGGCTGCAGAAATTGCACAAGTAGCAGTTATAGGTTTTCATGCCAACAAACCAATGATTAACAAGGACGATTAGAGTCTGAATGGAAACAAGGCACAAGCTCTTTGTCTTTTTGATGCCAACTCAAAAGCCACGAACACACATATTTCCCCATGGCAGGTTCATACCACTGGACTTCAGTTGCTTGGCTCTCTCCCGTTCTTGAACTGCAGACTTTGGTAAAAGTGGGGTAAGTCCTCGTGATTTGGTAGGTCTCATGTAGCCTTTCATTGGTTCTGTCACTCTGCTTCTATCTTCCTTTTTCTCTTCTCCCAGTGTCTTTGCTTCAGATTTTTCTGTCATTTTCTGAGGTGCCTCTAAGATCTTATCTTTGAGTTCTGGGAGTTGAAGACCCTTGGAAGCCGTCATTGCTAACTTATCTACCACCCCTGAAGAAGGAGCTTCAACTTTGTTATGTAAGAAGTCTGACTGGAGTTCTGGTGTTGACAAGGAAACGCATTTCAATTCTGTGTTTTTACAAGGCAGACTAATTTCTTTCAATTTATCCTTTTCACTTTCTGGAGGCAAAAGAGTCAGATCCATCTCCTTAGTCAAACTATCTGGACCCTTGGAATCTCTATCTTTACCATTTTGGCCCTCGCAGAAACTGGGCTTTTGTACTTTGTCTCCCAATAAGTCAGGAATCTGAACTGGAACAGAACCTCCCTCAGTTTCTTTTTTTGCCCTATCTGCATATGCTTCTAGGACTCTGACCTCTCCTGGAGAGCTCTGGTCTACTGGCACTTCAGGAAGAAGGTGTCCTTTAGCTAGCTCTGTGCCTTTTTCTACTGAATGCTTACACGCACCACTGTGCACTGACTCAGATTCTCCTACCCCAAGCCCTTCATCGATCCCTGCTTCATTTTTCACGGAGTCAGCAAGTTCACCTTTATTCTTAAGGCAGTGACCTCCATGACTGTTAACTGTTTCTGTGGCTGCTGTAAAAGGCAGAGCAACTCCTCCTGTGCTGGTAGAGGACACAACAGTAGAGGGAGCCTTGGGTCTTTCTTGACCTGGAACTCCATCTTTGTTGCCACTATCTACCACCAATGATTTGGAAATCTGGTCAGGGGCTATCTCTTGCCCACTTTTTGCCAAGGTGTCTGGATAGGAATCACCTTCCTTTACTACTTGAGGAGTAGGAGTTGGAGTAGGCGGTTTTTCACAGACGACTGATTCCAGATCCTCTAGAGGAGCTGACTTATTCATCAGCTCTGGTGGTGTTCTGGGACAGGTAAATGTAATATTTCTATTTTCGTCCATATAGCCCATTCCTTCAATTCTGTGGTCCCCTGTGGTTTCCATGGGAACATGTATTTTTGTTACATCCATCTTATTCTCCAGAATGTGCTTCTCGGGAGAACTATTTTTAACCTTTTTACTTTTTCCATCATTACTCCTTTTATTTGGTTTGTCAGTTACTGCAGTGTGTCCCTTGGCTGCATCTGCCTTATTCTCCTCAGAAAGTACTGAAGGAACAAATCCTGCCCCCTGGATTTGGTCTTGGTGGCTCACATCTGTCACCTTGGCAGCTGGTTCAATATCAGCAGAAGCCTTGACTGTGTTTGTTTTGTCTCCCCCAGGAGTCCTAAGCTCAACAGAATTAACCTCAGCATTTCCACCGTTTTGGTCAACTACTTCCACTGTGGGTATATCTGATGTAGCATGCATTTTTGGGAAAACAAGTCCTAATTCCCTCCTTTTATGGGGAATACTACCAGCAGCTCCATCCTTCCCTACAAAAGGTAAGTTGAGGATTTCTTCCCTCCTCTCCATTTTAGCAGACTGTGTGGAATAATTATTTTTAAACTTTTTGTTTTTGCCTTCATTGCCTCTCTTTTTAGGCTTTTCAGAAACCCAAGGAGCTGCCTCATGATCCATCCAAGGACACTTTCCTTCCCTGCTCTGGTTACTGACACCCGTATCTTTGGTTACAGCTCTTGTTTCTGTCCTAACACCAGAAGTCTGAGTCATAAATGAGCCATTTTCCAAAGGAATCAACGTCTGCAAGGTGTTTGCCACCCTAGGATGAGTGGTCTCCTTAGGTTCCCTTATCACCACTACCTTAGCAAGATCAGCCATGGTCTCTGGTTGCTTTGAAGAATCTAGCCCCAGCTCCTCACTCTTATCCTGGGTTGTCATTCCTTCGGTTTTAGGGACTGACTCACTGGATACAAGAACATCCCTTTCACCTTTTTGGCTGTCCAGAAGAAATGGTAGCTCAGATCTTGCTCTTACTTTCCCAGAATTTGCTCTCATTTTCCCATTACTTCCCTTTCCCTTCCTGCTTTTGCCATCACCTGCCATTCTCTTAAATGGCTCATTCTCCAGTCCAGGGGCCTGCACTAACTCCTGGCCCTGCAATTGATCAGAAGCAAAGATGCTGATCTCTTGTTTTAGCTTGGGAAAAACTTCTTTTTTTAGTTCTTTATCCTCTTCAGGAAGCTCTTTCTGTTTCACATTCTGCAGTTGGGACATTATATTTTCATCATTCCCTTCTTTCAGACTACTTTCTAATGGGTTACTTGCTAACAAAGTGGGTATCAAATTGGGTAGTTCTTTTGCTGCTGTAGGATTTGAAATACCACCCATAACTTCTTGGTCCAAGAAAGGAGAGCAACTCTCTTTGGGTGTGATGTCCAAAGGAGTTTCTACTTTGTGTACAGAAACTTCTGTCAGGGGTCCTTTCAGACCGAGAGAGTCTACTGGCTGGCTTTTATCCATGGAAGTCTTCAGGTGAGGTGCAGGCTGTGGTTTGTATTCATCTTGCTTCAGCAATTTATTGTCTTGGGTTTGTGGCACTGACTTGTTACCTTTCCCTTCTTCCTCCCTTCTCAGCTTGGACTGAGAATTTACTGCTGTTTTGGTGGGTTCTTCTGAAGGATACAAAGGAATTCTGAGGTTTTCTGAGACAAAGTTCTCAGCTACTGGTTTGGCCGCTTTGGAGTTAACCACACCTTCCCTTTTCAAGTTTTCTCTGGATACAAGTCCATATTCTGCACCCATGGTAGTAGACTGGCTGGGAAGAACACCTGATTTTTGTGAGTCAGCTGCAAAGGGATGACCTTTAGGCTCACCTACATTGTCATCATCCCAAGGTCCTCCAGCTCGGGGTTGAGAATATCTCTTTTGCTTTGGTTTCTTCTTCTTTTTCTTCATCATCGGTACGCTTTCTATATCCCAGGCCTCCCTGCCAAGATCCCTCTGAGGTTCAAGTGAGTCAACATGAACATTTTTCCTTTGGCTCCCAGGCTCACCACAGGAAGATGAACCAGAGACCCAACCCAACTCAGACAAAGAGCAGTGGCTCAGCCTGTGATCAAGAGTCTTCCATGGAGGAGAGCCTTCCAGCAGCTCAGGAGGGACCCTGGAAGGCTTGGGTCGGGCTGACCTGCGGTCACTGGGTCTGCAAACTTGTTTGGCTTGTGTGGGAGTGGTACCGCAATACATGAAGTTGGCTAAAATTTCAAACAAAAAACTCCTTGTTATTGTTTCTTAAGAAAAAAAAACACCATTTAAGTAGGCTACACAATCCGCATACTACCTGGAATTTGTTTAGGAAAACAGTTTTTGTCTAACACATTTCTAACTCTTAACTGGGGTTAGCAAATATTTAACAAAGATCATCAACTTAAGGTAAGGTAGAGTTTTTCTCACACATATTTATTAAATATTTGAAATATTTCATTTCAGAAGTTACAAGGTTAAATTTTAAAATAAAATATATTTCAAATCTAATTTTTTTTTTTTTGAGTTGGAGTCTCACTCTGTAACCCAGACTGGAGGGC